ACTACTAGTCAACATGTATGGAGTGGTTTCTCCTGCGCTGTTGCATTTTTAATTTGCACTTCTGAATACATGTCATTGGACTATTCTCATTCACAATTCTTGCTTCTCTACTTATTGTGTAGTGGGCAGACATGATACCAAGCTGTAGGGCATCATACACTGGAGGGTTTGCGTTTCGTGTGTACTGAGATGCCTAGTAACTAACTACATATATAGGTGGGAACAGTGACCTGGTTTAGTATTCTTCTAGTCCCAGTAGTGTGCAATTATGTTGCCTACATTTCCCAGTCATTCACGTCAGATTTGCAAACTCGCTACAGCTGAGGGAATCGACAAGACGTGACAGTGACTCAGTTCACTACACAGCCTGGCCAGATCACGGAGTTTCAGACAATGTCATGTCTGTCATACGGTTCATTCGTCATGTCCGTAAACTTTTCCCTGCTGCCCTCCCAAGACCAGCCACTGCTGGTACACTGCATGCAGGTGTGGGCCGCACCGGGACTTTCTCTCACTCTGATATGATGATGCAGCAGATGAGGCGAGGCCACCCTCAGTGTCTGCCAGTGTGTCAGAAATCTGAGAACACAACGTATGAGATGGTCAGACTCCGGTAACGACTTTTAATAATGATACTTGTTTATTGTGTGATGTGTCTAACTCTTTCAAGACTCATATGAGTTCATTCACCAAGCTTATGAGCTGTGGTGTGTGGAGAGACAGAGCTGACTGCCTCAGTCTCAGGTCCTTCACTGAGTCTCTCAGGGACCCAGTCTCTGACTCTGGACCCACTCTCTCGCTACAACACCTGGAAGTTTATATCCTACACCATACTCTCCTAAGTGTTCACTACTGTGACTAGGTTCTGATGATCTGAGTGCACACAAAGGTGTGACTTCACGGAGCCAATGCTAAGAAAACATCAACAAAACAGATTCCATAACTGCCAGTAAGACAACGGCCATAGTGAACCCAGAGGGTGCATAAACTATCGTATTGCATGCAACCAGTGTGGCAATACAGTATACATCACCTCTGAACAAGGGATGCAATGGGGCAATGAACGATTATATGTATGGCAAAGATCAGATGTGTTCCATCTCTCAACAGATGATTTAAGCGTGTGCCGACTGAGGAGTATCTGCCCGTGAGTACATCAATGCATCCTTTATCAATGTCGTAACATAGATGTTCTTCACATATCACAGTTACCGGTTAGAAGCAAACCACATACACTGCTTCAGGGCTATAAGCAAGAGATGCCTACATAGCAACTCAGGGTCCACTGGAGGACAGTGGAGGACTTCTGGAGGATGATGTGGAGTACCAGTGTGGCTCTATCGTGAGGCTGTGTCCGCTGAGGAAGACGGCCAGTCTGTAGACCAGACATACACAGAAGGTGTGTACTGGTGTCTGTGTGTGGTCATGACTGCAGTGAGAGCATGCTACCCCTACTGGCAGTGAGGAGGAGAGGAGAGGTGTGTGGGTGTGGGAGACTCTCTGTCAGACTAGTCAAGATCAGAGGTCACGCTGACATATTGGAGAGGAGGATGGAAGTCAAGGAGCATAAGTCTGTTTCAACCAATATACTTGTTGTCAAGATGATACAGCTAATGAGTTGGCCATTGGAGGGGTTACCTCATCCCACAGCAATCATCTCGCTCATCAAGAAGCTCACCAACACCCTAATGAGTTTGCGTTCCAAACAGACTGTGATCATGTGCAGGTAGAATGGCAATTACAAACATGACCTGCTTCACCTTATAAGTTAATTTTCCCTCCCACTCAGTGACGGGGTAGTTCGGAGTGGGACATTCCTGGTCATCCACTCTCAGTTGGAACGTCTGAAGACAGAAGGTGTGGTGGATGTCTTCCAGGCCATCAAGTCTGCTCGCATACACAGACCTGGAATCATACCCAACACTGTAGGTCTCTGCTCTGGTTTCAGTGTGACTATTTCTCTTTTTTCACATGAAGGATCACTATGTCTTCTGTTATGAAGTACTGGCTGACTTTGTGGAGAGGATGGAAGCTTATCACAATTTCAAGACTCTTATGTAGCTAATGAACATACCTGACACGGGATAAGTATGCCAATGTCATATGCACACCATAGTAATAATAAGAGTAATGTTGTATAAATGTAGCACCATAATTGTCTCATATTGATCAATTTTTAATGGGATAAATTACCTTTGCATCAGAATTCCCAAATGAAGTATGCAATGAGCACTTAGCAGTAAATATTTCTAATAAATTTATGGGTCCAAAAACGGTCTGTAGTGAATGATTGTCACATGCACAAAGCTCCTAAACCAAGTTTCCTACTCATGTATACATCACAGTGTTTATTGTTGCACATTAAGTAAACCAAAAATTGTATAAACATCTCCTTTGCGAGTGGATGCGGAGAGATTTGAAAATTATATTGTAGCTAGAAAAGCTTTAGCTACCATTGTCTTCTCTTTAACCAGGACTACAATGACTGTTGTGTTGTTTATACTCTTACTGAGTGTAGTGAGTTTAGGGAACTGCCAGTCACTGCCTCAGTTTGAACACGATGAGGGGTACTTTCTGTCCAACAATTCCTACATCTATTTTCTTGATATTGGTGATGGAGATCGTGCTCTAAACTGTGTGACTAACAGTGTCAACTGCTGCAATAACACTGATGTTGGTGGCTGGAGAGATGAGAGTGGGAGACCAGTCTACCAGGGAGCAAATGAGACAACTTGTCTGTATATTATTAGAGGAGATGGAGTGATCAGTTTAAACCGCAATTGTAGTGACCACACATCAGGACTGTGGAGATGTGATATACCTGATTCCAGTGGAGAGATGCAGAGCCTCTACATCTACATCAGCAATAGCAGATCATATGGTATGCTGCATTGCTTTCTCTCCATGCCTTCTTTCTTTCTTAACAGGGCAACTAAGCAGCTCAATATCTATCAACTTCACTCTACACACTGAGCTCAGAGCAAGTGTTCCTCAATTCACTATTTCCTGCCGTACTCATGGAGGACCGGCCACAACTGTCCAGTGGACAGTAAATGGAGACCCAGTACAGGAAGACAGATATCATGAGACCAGTCAGCTCATACTGGACACATCTCTCAACTCTGTCTATGACAACAGATTGAGAGTGAGAGGAAGAAGAAATGGGACCTACAACTGTACCATCAGCAACAATATAGAGACTATAGATACCTAGAGGCACGCATCAGCGAATAGACTCTGGCTATAAAGTAATTACTGTCAGTGATAGATTTACTATTAATATGGAATCTCTGTATTTTGCTTACACAGTTGCAGGAGAGCCCACTGGTCTTACTGGAGCCACCTCAGAGTCCAACAGTACACATATCAATATCACTGTGTCTTGGGAGTCACCAGGTGATCCTGTCACTGGCTATGTCATCTACTACCAGCCTAAGGGAGGACCAGTCATCAGTGACAGGTGGTCTGGAGGAGAGACAGACACACATTCACTGGATGTCTTCAGAGAGGAGTCACCTACTACATCTCCATAGTGGCGCTGTCACCCTCACCTACCCATGCCTCTGTTGGACCTATCATTGCTCTTCCAGGTGAGTCACTTACTCGCCTTCCAGCCATCACACGTCCTTATGTCACTCTCTCCATAGATCCACTACTGATATACGTAGAGACTCACCTAAATTCACTCACTACGCTCACCCCAAACAGTCAAGTTCTCAGGCAAACTGTACTGCCAGAGCTGAGGTGGATGGGGAACTTGCTGAAGCGATACAATAGAATGGAGTCGTCTTATCCTCTCATCCTCGCTCCTCAGTTTGGGACAATGAATTCATCTGAATAGAAATGGAACGGAATTATCTAGAGACCATAAATTTACTAAGATCAAGCAAGCACTTCCTTCCTGGATGCTCCTTCCAATTCTAGTCAGAATTCCTCCACTGAGAGAAGCTATCAGAGTGTTCTGACCACCTCTGAGAATCACACTGTCAACACTATCATCTACCGCTGCACTGCTACAGTATACAGTTACTCCAACTTCAGTGGCACTACCGTATTCATTCAAGGTATATTATATATATGAAAGCTACGAAACTGATAGGTAGAGCATGGATTGCTTACTTTCTTGCAGCAATGAATGTCCGTCAGAATTTTAATGTCACCACAAGCACTGTTGCAGCAGGTGGTAGTACTACTAACGTTAGTACCACCAGAGGTAAACATATTACTGCATGTATATTCAGTTAATATTACACGTTGTGCACAATTTTATCATAGCTTCTACCACTACCAGCAGCATCATCAAACCAAGTAGTACACACACTCAAAGGTCCACCATGTCCACCAGAGAGGACACTATTACTTCCCTTGCTTCCACGATTCCTCCCATTATGTTGGAGACGAGTAGTGCCATCATACCTTTCACACAAAGTGCATCCATTACTATTACTAATGGATCAGAAACTGCGAGCATTACAACTTCTACCAAGAGTACAACATATAGTACAGCAAGATTGAGCACTGTGCATACTAGCACTGCAACACCTACAACTATTACTGTAGTGACATCTTTTGCTTCAACTACAGACAACTCTCACGAAAAAACGTTGAATACTGAAGATTCTACAGTGATGTCGACTGCTGCCACAAAGAGTACTAGTATGGCAGCAACTTTGAAGACGGTCGATAGTACCATTATTATGGTGACGAACAGCCCTAGCATGGTAGTTGCCACAACTATGACATCCTCAGCAGCTACAATGAACATCGCTACTATGACAGGATACACTAGTGTAGAAAACGCAAGTAGTCCTACCACAACAACAACTGTTACAACAATTGCACCCAGCGAGACCACAGTGGGATCTAGCACAACCACAATGGCTCCCAGCGTGACCACATTGGGATCTAGCACAACCACAATGGCACCCATTGAAACCACAATGGCACCCACTACTGTTGCCACAGTCGCAACTGCAACTGAAGGTGAATCTGCACCTTCCCCGACAGATCCAGGTATATACCTGCTCCGATGTCTAATATGTTTTTTTTAGAAGAAGGTTTGAGAAACGACATTCGTATACTACTGATTTCAATGGGGATTGCGCTTGTGCTCGTGATCTTTGCCTTCGTCTGCAGCATCATTCTGTTTAAAAGGTTTTATAATGAGTTTCCTTGAGCCTGCTTGATGTTTCATGTTGTCATGTTATATAGGAAGGACAAGACAAAGAGGAAGTCACAGAGTAAGTACCAGAAGTCATCCTCCAAGAGATTGGAGCGGTTAGAGAGACATGAACTGAGGGAAAGAGGCTCGAGAGATGATGATGACAGTGATTATACATGGCCTTTATTTACTGATGAGAGTGAGTTTGACTTGACTGCATGAGCAAGTGATAATATGTTGTTAATACAGTTCCAGTGAGGAGTGATATTCCAGTCAGTGAGTTTCCAGACTATGTCATTGATATGACAGCGGAAAACCAGCACGACACCTCCAAGTTAGCTATTGAATATCAGGTCGGTAGTATACACACAAGGGAGCGTGGTGTAAAGCTGTCGTTTAAAATGAGTTCAATTTCTGCAGCAACTCAGTAGTGTTCCTACATTGTCCTACGAAGTGGCCTGTCTTCCCCAGAACATAAACCTCAATAGATTCAGGAACATTTACCCATGTGAGAACCAACACGTTACCACATTTCCCACAAATTGACCTCCACAATATCAGATGATGATTCGAGAGTGCCTCTGAAGGAGATACCTGGAGAACTGGGATCTGATTACATCAATGCCTCTTTTGTTTCAGTGAGTTCAAGAGTTGAATGCGATGTAGAGTATGTTAAGTATGTTAAGTGTTATACTTTCTGCAGGGGTATTGTGGAAATAGATACATAGCAGCACAAGGTATGATTCATCAAGTTAGGACATCTACTGTGTATATATAGCTACAACAACCCACAGCTCCACTGAATGAGACCATTGATCATTTCTGGAGGATGGTGTGGGAGTACGAGATTGAAGCCATTGTCATGTTGACTAAATGTGTGGAGATGACAAGAGTAAGTCAACAGTCAATTGCCTGGTGTGTAGGTCACCAATTGTTCCACAGGAGAAGAGCACCCAGTACTGGCCTGAGTCACTGAGTGAGACCATCATTCCTGGAGACAGACTCAGTGTAACTCTCTCTTCATCCACACCTTATGCCGAGTACCACGTCCGCAAACTTCTAGTCAAACATGTATGTGGTTCAGTGTATCAAATTGTTATCAACTCCCTACAGCTGACAGAGTCTGACAAGTCAGTGACAGTGACTCAGTTCCACTACACAGCCTGGCCAGATCACGGAGTTCCAGACAATGTCATGTCTGTCATACGGTTCATTCGTCATGTCCGTAAACTGTTCCCTGCTGCCTCCCAAGACCAGCCACTGCTGGTACACTGCAGTGCAGGTGTGGGCCGCACCGGGACTTTCATCACTCTGGATATGATGATGCAGCAGATGAAGGCTGAGGCCACCCTCAGTGTCTGCCAGTGTGTCAGAAATCTGAGAACACAACGTATGAAGATGGTGCAGACTCCGGTAACGACTTTTAATGATACTTGTTTATCGTGTGATTGTGTCTAACTCCCTTTCAAGATTCAGTATGAGTTCATTCACCAAGCTCTGAGTGAGCTGGTGGTGTGTGGAGAGACAGAGGTGACTGCCTCCAGTCTCAGGTCCTTCACTGAGTCTCTCAGGGACCCAGTCACTGACTCTGGACCCACTCTCTCACTACAACACCTGGAGGTTTATATCCTACACCCATATCTCCTAAGGTGTTCACTCTGTGACTAGGTTCTGGATGATCTGAGTGCACAGCAAAGGTGTGACTTCACGGGAGCCAAGGCTAAGGAAAACATCAACAAAAACAGATTCCCAAATAAACTGCCAAGTATGACAACGTCCCATAGTGAACACATTGAGGGGGTTACATAAATATCGTATTGCATGCTATCAGTGATAGCCAATGTAGATACAGTAGAATTTCCGAAAAAGGGGCGCAATTGGGCCAACTATTAGAGAGTCGGTAGACTCTCTATATAGGGATGACGCGGGTGAAATCTCACGTGATCCGCGTACAAAACGACTAAAAACTCGGTGAGAATAACTTCCTAGGCCTTCAAAACATACTAGCAATAGTCTACGGGCCCATATCTACCTATACATGTCCCACAAGAGCTCATACGCACCTTCAGTCGTCCACGCGAGAATTCGCTCATACGCGATTTCACGATTTTCGTGTCATCATAATATTCTTCATCTTCTTCTTCTTCTTAAACCCGCTATCTCCTTACCAGTACCAGTTCAAGCACTGATTTTTTCACTGAAGGTCTCCAATTTCGCCGGAGGTGTGCACGGACATCATGCGATCGTTTCTTTCTTGCCGCTAGTCACTACGGTAGATCATGGAGCTCTTCCCTGGTCGACCTGAACGACGCCATTTGCTGCTTACTCAGCATCAGTGATCCGCGCGCATGCGCCAGGCAGGGGCGTTGTCCAATGTGCTTGCGAGCGTATTCTACCGGGCGAGTGGGCAGACCTGCAGAGGAACTGTCAGCCTCCAGTACCTTCTGTAAGTAAGTGTGCACATTTCCAACTGGCTATCTTGCTGTTGATATGCACGAAGAGCAACTTGCCAGAGTCTGCGCGGTGTTACGCGCGCCTTGCGGGGCACTCAGTCAAATGGGCCTTCATTGTTTGTCCCCCCCAGGTTGTAGCCTGATTACCAAAGCCTGCCAATGAAACCACAACCATGTGCAATAATCTAATTACATCCTTGTTCAAGACAATACATGGTATCTAGCAGCCCCATTAGCTACTACTTTCAATTTGTCTATGGTAGCCTATCTACAACATAGCCATGAACATCAGAGTGACTGTAACAATAAATGCAGTGTTGCCAGAAGCTGTTAAAATAGTGGAAACAAGTGGAAAAATCATTTCTTCAAAATGAAAGGGGGATATAGGGATGGCTTGAAGCACCAAAAAGGAAGAAACAAGGGGTCGTTACACAGCAAAGTTGCACAAAGCTACATGACACCATCCCTATATCTTTGTTTTATTGTTTATAAGCAAAGTTTAATATCAAACAATATCAAACAAAGATATAGGGATGGTGTCATGTAGCTTTGTGCAACTTTGCTGTGTAACGACCCCTTGTTTCTTCCTTTTTGGTGCTTCAAGCCATCCCTATATCCCTCTTTCATTTTGAAGAAATGATTTTTCCGCTTGTTTATGTAAAGACAGATATTTCCTTCTCTCAACAGATGATATTTATCGTGTGCCACTGATGAGTAGTTCTGGCTCGGAGTACATCAATGCATCCTTTATCAATGTCGGTATCATACAGATGTTTTCCGCACACAGTTAAGCAGCACATACATTAACTGATTCAGGGCTATAAGCAGAGAGATGCCTACATAGCAACTCAGGGTCCACTGAAGGGAACAGTGGAGGACTTCTGGAGGATGATGTGGGAGTACCAGTGTGGCTGTATCGTGATGCTGTGTCAGCTGGAGGAAGATGGCCAGGTCTGTAGACCAGACATACAGAGGGTGTGTACTGGTGTGTGTGTCATGGACTGCAGGAGAGCAGCTACCCCTACTGGCCAGGTGAGGAGGGAGAGGAGATGGTGTGTGGGAGACTCTCTGTCAGGCTAGTCAAGGTCAGAGGTCACGGTGACATATTGGAGAGGAGGATGGAAGTCAAGGAGCATAAGTCTGTTTCAACCAATATACTCGTTGTCAAGATGATACAGCTAATGAGTTGGCCATTGGAGGGGTTACCTCATCCCACAGCAATCATCTCGCTCATCAAGAAGCTCACCAACACCCTAATGAGTTTGCGTTCCAAACAGACTGTGATCATGTGCAGGTAGAATGGCAATTACAAACATGACCTGCTTCACCTTATAAGTTAATTCCCCTCCCACTCAGTGATGGGGTAGTTCGGAGTGGGACATTCCTGGTCATCCACTCTCAGTTGGAACGTCTGAAGACAGAAGGTGTGGTGGATGTCTTCCAGGCCATCAAGTCTGCTCGCATACACAGACCTGGAGTCATACCCAACACTGTAGGTCTCTGCTCTGGTTTCAGTGTGACTATTTCTCTTCTTTTCACATGAAGGATCACTATGTCTTCTGTTATGAAGTACTGGCTGACTTTGTGGAGAGGATGGAAGCATACCACAACTTCAAGACTCTTATGTAGCTAATGAACATACCTGACATGAGATAAGTATGCCAATGTCATATGCAAACCCATAGTAATAATATTAATAATGTTGTATATTAATTATGTAGAGCCATAATTATCTCATATTGATCAATTTCTTCGTTCATAATGGGATAAATTACCTTTGCATCAGAATTCCCAAATGAAGTATGCAGTGAGCACTGAGCAGTAGCTAATTCTCATAAATTTCTCGGTCTACAAACAAAAATGGTCTGTAGTGAACATGCACAAAGCTACATACATAAACCAAGTTTCCAACTATGTATACATCACAGTGTTTATTGTTGCACATTAAGTAAACTCAAAATTGTATAAACATCTCCTTTGCGAGTGGAAGCAGAGAGATTTGAAAATTATGTTGTAGCTAGAAAAGCTTTAGCTACCATTGTCTTCTCTTTAACCAGGACTACAATGACTGTTGTGTTGTTTATACTCTTACTGAGTTTAGTGAGTTTAGGGAACTGCCAGTCACTGCCTCAGTTTAAACTGGAGAGGACTCTTCTGTCCAACAATTCCTACATCTACTATAATGATATTGGTGATGGAGATCGTGCTCTAAAGTGTGTGACTGACAGTGTCAACTGCTGCAATAACATCTACTGTTGGTGGCTGGAGAGATGAGAGTGGGAGACCAGTCTACCAGGGAGCAGATGGGACCACTTGTCTGTATGTCACTAGAGGAGATGGAGTGATCAGTCTACACCGCAAGAGAAATTGTAGTGACCACACATCAGGACTGTGGAGATGTGATATACCTGATTCCAGTGGAGAGATGCAGAGCCTCTATGCCTACATCAGCAATAGAAGATCACATGGTGAGCTACACAACCATTTTCTACTTTTTTAACATACCAAAATGCAGGACAATTGGTCTTGTTGTCTATGAACTTCACTCTACACACTGAGCTCAGAGCAAGTGTTCCTGAATTCACTATCTCCTGCCGTACTCATGGAGGACCTGCCACAACTGTCCAGTGGACAGTAAATGGAGTCCCAGTACAGGAAGACAGATATCATGAGACCAGTCAGCTCATACTGGACACATCTCTCAACTCTGTCTATGACAACAGATTGAGAGTGAGAGGAAGAAGAAATGGGACCTACAACTGTACCATCAGCAACAATATTAGAGATTATGATACTAGTGTATCTGTTACCGAAGTGAAAGGAACTCTAAACGATATCAGGTAGATTATTGTAATGTAAGAATTCTGCATTTTATGCATTTTACACAGTTGCAGGAGAGCCAAGCAATCTTACTGCAGTCATCTCTGAGTCCAACAGTACACATGTCAATATCACTGTGTCTTGGGAGTCACCAGGTGATCCTGTCACTGGCTATGTCATCTACTACCAGCCTAAGGGAGGACCAGTCATCAGTGACAGGGTGTCTGGAGGAGAGACAGACACACACTCACTGGATGGTCTTCAGAGAGGAGTCACCTACTACATCTCCATAGTGGCTCTGTCACCTCACCTACCCAGTCCTCTGGTTGGACCTATCACTGTCATTCAGGTGAGTCACTTACCTCTCCTTCCAGCCATCATGTCCTTATGTCACTCTCTCATTAGATCCACTACTGGTAGTAGAGACCTCACCTGAATCACTCACTACCTCACCAAACAATCAGTTCTCAGTCAACTGTACTGCCAGAGCTGAGGTTGATGGGGAACTTCCGAATATGACAATAGAATGGAGTCGTCTTATCCTCTCTCCTCTACTTGGGACAATGAATTCATCTGAAGTAGAAAATGGAACGGTACTAGAGACAACAGAATTTACTAAAGATCAAGCATACACTTTCTTCCTGGATGCTCCATCCAATTCTAGTCAAAATACCTCCACTGAGAGAGGCTACTATCAGAGTGTTCTGACCACCTCTGAGAATGACACAGGCAGCACTATCATCTACCGCTGCACTGCTACAGTATCCAGTTACTCCAGCTTCAGTGACATCACTATAATATTCGTTGAAGGTATGACAGTAATAAGGAGCCAGTACGCTTAACCTTCACAGCAATTTAGTTTTGTCACCACCAGCAGTGTAACCAAGAATAAGGCTTAACGATAGCTTAGTTGCCAGACTAAGCACTGATCGTTTACTTCAAGGAGGACCTGTTATTAATGCGAGTTACTTTCTCTTCTGCTTTTTTGCATTGTTTATGCTTGGCGTTTTATCCGTGCACCTCTCGTTCTTTTATACAGCTCCAACTAATATCCAGATTAACAGCACTGTCATTACCAACCAAAGTACTCACCCCCAAACTACCATCATTACCGCCCAAGGGACAGCGCTCTCTACTAGTACTGTGGTTACACCTGCCACTACTACTGCGACAACAATGGTGACCAGCACGACGACAATGACATCCACAATGGCACCAACAGTGAAAACGACTGCTATGGACACTACTGCAACTGGTGTCAGTTTGAGTAACGACATTCGTATACTGCTTATTTCAACTGCTACTGCGCTTTTGATTGTGGCTTTTATCTGCAGCATCATTCTGTTGAAAAGGTTTTATAACAGGTCCTGACCCTGGTTGATGTGCCACATTATAGGAAGGACAAGAGTAAGTCAAGAGTAGTACAGAAGTCACATCCAAGAGATTGGGCGTTAGAGAGACATAACTGAGGAAGAGGCTGGTAGACGATGTGCAGTGATTATACGAGCCTTGTGATCTATGAGAGGACAAGACAAGAGTAAGTCACAGAGTAAGTACCAAAGTCATCATCAAGAGATGAGGCGTTAGAGAGACTGACTGAGGGAAAGAGGCTGGAGAGACGATGGTGCAGTGATTATACATGCCTTGTGTTCTGTGAGAGTGAGTTTGACGACGAGCACTGAATAATTTGTTATAATGTTAATACAGTTCCAGTGAGGAGTGATATTCCAGTCAGTGAGTTTCCAGACTATGTCATTGATATGACAGCGGAAAACCAGCACAACACCTCCAAGTTAGCTCTTGAATATCAGGTCGGTATTATACACACAAGGAATCATGGTTTTTGTAAAACGGTCGTTTAAGAGTTCAATTTCTTGCGCAACTCAGTAGTGTTCCTACATTGTCACTATGAAGTGGCCTGTCTTCCCCAGAACACAAACCTCATAGATTCAGGAACATTTACCATGTGAGAACTAACACATTACCACATTTCCCACAAATTTACCTCCACAATATCAGATGATGATTCGAGAGTGCCTCTGAAGGAGATACCAGGAGAACTGGGATCTGATTACATCAATGCCTCTTTTGTTTCAGTGAGTTCAAGAGTTGAACGCGATGTATAGTATGTTAAGTGTTGTACTTTCTGCAGGGTTATTGTGGAAATAGATACATAGCAGCACAAGGTGTGGTTTTGTGAAGTTAGGACACCTACTATATAGCTACAACCACCCACAGCTCCACTGAATGAGACAATTGATCATTTCTGGAGGATGGTGTGGGAGTACGAGATTGAAGCCATTGTCATGTTGACCAAATGTGTGGAGATGACAAGAGTGAGTCAACAGTCTTATAGCTACCTGGTGTCAGTGTCTAGGTCACAAACTGTTCAACAGGAGAAGAGTGCCCAGTACTGGCCTGAGTCACTGAGTGAGACCATCACTCCTGGAGACAGACTCAGTGTCACTCTCTCTTCATCCACACCTTATGCTGAGTACCACATCCGCAAACTTCTAGTCAAACATGTATGTGATGGTTTCTGTGCCTGTTGCATTTTCTGTGCACTTACATTTCCTTGATACCATGCTATTCTTGCTTCTACTCATTTTGTAGTAGAGCAGACATACATAATACTAAGCTGTGGGCCATCATCCACGGTGTACACTTGAGGGTTTGCCTTTTCTAAGTGTTGTATTGCAGGCCTGTGTACTGAAAGATCTAGTAATTAACTAAAATAGGTGGGAAGAGAGAGACCTACCATGGTATAGCCTCACTGAAAAGCAGTTGTGCTGCCTTAATTCCTCCGTAATTCATGTAAAATTTGCAAACTCCCAACAGCTGACAGAATCCGACAAGACAGTGACAGTGACTCAGTTCCACTACACAGCCTGGCCAGATCACGGAGTTCCAGATAATGTCATGTCTGTCATACGGTTCATTCGTCATGTCCGTAAACTGTTCCCTGCTGCCTCCCAAGACCAGCCACTGCTGGTACACTGCAGTGCAGGTGTGGGCCGCACCGGGACTTTCATCACTCTGGATATTGATGATGCAGCAGATGAAGGCTGAGGCCACCCTCAGTGTCTGCCAGTGTGTCAGAAATCTGAGAACACACGTATGAAGATGGTGCAGACTCCGGTAACAATTTATTGATCCTTGTTTATCGTGTGATTGTGTCTAACTCCTTCAAGATTCAGTATGAGTTCATTCACCACAGCTCTGAGTGAGCTGGTGGTTGTGTGGAGACAGAGGTGACGGCCTCCAGTCTCAGGTCCTTCACTGAGTCTCTCACTGACTCTGGACCCACTCTCTCACAACAACACCTGAAGGTTTATTCTGCACACATGTTTGACAACCATGAGGTTGATTTTGGAAATTCTTACTAGGTCTGGAATATCTAAGCACGAGAATAGGTGTGACTTCACGGGAGCAAGGCTGAGGCAAACATCAGCAAAAACAGATTCTCAGATAAAAATGCCAAGTATGCCGTGTTTGTTGAGACATCGACCATCTTAGGGTGGTTACATAACAAAAACTGCCACGATTGCTTAGTTCAAGCATTATGATAGCATTACGATCAACACTGACTGCTTGTATAAGCTCTTTCTTGCCATTGATAGGTGAAGTATAACAGAGTCTCACTGACAGGCAACTCTGGCTCTGAGTACATTCAATGCATCCTTCATTCAATGTAGGTAGTGTCATGGGTTTATGGGGTAGGTAGCTAATATTATTCTTGCACAACTGTTCAGGGCTACAAGCAGAGAGAGCCTACTATAGCAACTCAGGGTCCACTGGAGGGAACAGTGGAGGACTTCTGGAGGATGATGTGGGAGTATCAGTGTGGGCTCTATCATGATGCTGTGTCAGTGGAGGAAGATTGCCAGGTCTGTAACCAGACATACAGAGGGGTGTGTACTGGTGTGTGTGTCATGGACTGCAGAGAGAGCAGCTACCCCTACTGGCCAGGTGAGGAGGGAGAGGAGATGGTGTGGTGGGGAGCTCTGTCAGACTAGTTCAAGGTCAGAGGTACGGTGACATAGTGGAGAGGAGGATGGAATCAAGGAGAACAAATCAATATCTCCTGACATAGTCTGTGTCAAGAGTAAAGCTAACGAGTGGGCATTAGAGGGGCTCCCCCACCTTACTGCACATGATCTCACCCTTGATAAGCTCAATAATGTTCTGATGTCCACCTCTCCAAACAGACTGTGGTCATGTGCAGTATGCTTGTTGAACAGTTGGAATTTATGTGTGCATAAAGATTGTGTCCTCACTCCTACTCAGTGATGGGGTAGTTCGGAGTGGGACATTCCTGGTCATCCACTCTCAGTTGGAACGTCTGAAGACAGGAAGGTTGGGGTGGATGTCTTCAGGCCATAAGTCTGCTCGCATACACTACCGGATCTACAAACACTGCGTAAGTTTCCTCTGCCTGGTTTAAGTGTGGACTATTTTTCTTCTTTTCAACATAATATCACTATGTCTTCTGTTATGAAGACTGCTGACTTTGTGGAGAGGACGGAAGCGTACACAACTTCAGACTCCTCTATGTAGCTATGCACATTTGGTGGATATTATAATTATCATGTCGGCCAACCGTAGTATTGGTATAATTCAGAATTAATGTAGCGCATATCTGTGTTTATTCATTTTTCGTTTTATGTTCTTTGCACAGAATTCCCACGTTATGTTTCCCTTGAATATTTCATTGAGTAGTAGCCTAATCTACCCCCCCCCCCCCCCCCCCCCCCCTCAAATTCTAAATTTCAAGGGTAACACTAACAACACTTTTTGCAAAATGTACTGTTCTTATAGTAAAAAGATATAATTTATAATTTTACAACATGCACTAACTACGTATATACGGCAAATGTTAGCTTATTTCAGCGAGCCACATCACGTGTATCTTACTGCCTAAGTAAACTCAAGTGCATATAAAATCTTCCTTTGCGAGTGATGTAAGCACTAATTGCACGATTTTAATATTACGTTGTAGCTAAAAAAAACATCTTTTCTTAAACCGGACTGCATGATTGTTGTGTCTGTTTATACTCTTACGGGAGTTTAGTGATTTTGGGACTGCTAGTTCATACTGCCTAAATTCTGAACACGACGGAGATAATCTGTCAACAATTCCTACAATCTACTATCCTGACATTGTTGATGGAGGCTATGCTCGAAAGTGTGTGACTGCCCGTGTGAACTGCTGCAATAACACTATGTCGTGGTCCTGGAGTAGATGAGAGTGGGAGACCAGTCGCTACCTGGAGCAGATGGAACCCCCTTGTTCTGTATGTCAACTAGAGGAGATGGAGTGATCGTCTAACAACCTCAAGAGAGTTTTTTAGTGACCACACTCAGACCAGGTGGGATGGATATACCTGATTCCAGTGGAAGAGTCAGAGCCTCTACATCTACATCATAATAGAAATGAAAATGCCTTGATGATAGCTCTAAGCCATCACACATCAATTTTATGTGATGTGCGTTTCCGTTTTGCTTTTTTGTTTTTCCCTACTGGGAAGTTTTGGAGAGTTCCACCCTTGAAAGGAGA